ATAATAATATAACTATATATCGTGCTTATTTATAATATTATATACTCGGTGTAATCGTTACAGGACGTGTATCGCGTATTTTCATACTCTTTCTTCAATCACTCTAAGTTTATGAACTTACTTTGATTTATTTTTTCTCATTTCTAACTTCAATTCCCCCGTCGTCATTCGTCTCGGTTTCACACAATTTGTACCTGTACAGTGTACACACATATTGTCTTTCTTCTCTACTTCCCTACGGAGACCATCACTAACCACCCTCGGCACTTTCGCGATTTCCCACGTCAAGCTCGCCAAATGTTTGCAGTTATCGCTATTTCTTTTGGTCTCACAATAAGTGTTATATTCAATACTTGCGATTGTAAAATTACAAAAAATTTGTTATTTACATTCAATTCGATAACACGGCACTCCGGCTATGCAATTTCGATACATGCCGTAATAGAGACATAGTAAACTGTAGATTTAATACAAATATTTTTCCATTATTATATATTATTCATATTATTGTGTACACTTTCAACAATTTTTCTAAATTTATTTGGGTATGATGTTTCCGTTTGTATATTTTTGAAATATATTATATTGTATCATAATTTTGTATATTTTATTTATAACGCAAAATAAATGTCAATAAACTTGTATGCTATCATTAATATAATATTAAACACGTTTTAAATAGGTTACAAAATGATTGCGCAATTTTCACTTTTTACAAAATATTATGCCAATTCAAAAACATGTATACCGTTACCAGAATAGCCTTTTCATAAATGTTGATAGACCATTTTTTCAATAAACCGTGTATTTCTTTTACGCTCAATGGTGATGAAGCCTGGCAAGTTCCGGGATAAACGAATAAGACAAGTGTCTCTAAGGATACTCAAAGAAGGATGCAAATAATTGGTACTATTAAAAAATCGTCTTAGGCGGGAGAAAATATATACAGGGTATTCCATCTGTTGTAAGACAGTCATTTTCTCGGAAAATATCAATATTTTGAAAATAATTGTTTTCCTATAATACCTTTTTGTAGATACATATTTTACTATATTTTTCGATACTTAGAAAATGCTAACATTTTTAAAAAAATGTTAGCATTTTAATTTTAATTTGTCACCAATCTGTTTATTTGATATGTCTTTCCAAACATTTGAATTTAAGATCAATAGTCGTTCGGTTTTTTATAACAGTAGCGCATCCACTGTGTTTGAATAGATAGATAAGAACCGCTTGTCTATCATTATACCGAAACATTTCATTGTGTCTGATTTTCTCCTATCGGATAATGCAAACATAAGTATGTACCTACAAGCATAGAAAACAAATAATTTTTAAAATATTCATATTTTTGGAGAAAAACAGTGTCTTACACCAGATGGATCACCCTGTATAGTGCTATTCGCTGAACAAATGACATTTTAAAACGGTGAAGGGCAGATTCATATTTATGATACTGTTGTACTCTTGACAAGATGTTTTACACAATCCAAGCGAACCTCTGTCGCTTTACCGATCGGTATGCTGATTGTATACACTTGAAATATTTTTTAAATTACAATTTAACAATTTTTCAACATAATATTGTTTATCAATATTGTTAAATGACATATTATGTTAAATCTTACAAATATTTTTAAAATATTATAAACATGATATTACTAATTATTTGTATGTACCCTGTAAATATGGCATAAGTTCAGTTTATAACAGTAGGACTAGGGTGGACGACCACATGTAGTTAGGAGTGTAAGGCGAATATAAAGAAGAAGAAGATATTTGCTCGCAGGAATACCTTCCTCGAGGCAATTGACTGAAAAAACTTTTTAGTGCGATAGTATGTTAAATTTTCAAATAATAAGCCTTTGTTTAAATTGTCGAGTCTAACTCACTACTTTTACCGGATATTAATATTTATATTTTTTAATCAAAACTTCATTAAGCATATTTAAATGCTTGTACCCTCGTGGTTCCGACAAAAAAACTTTCAACCCGCCATCATTGAAAATTTGTTATTTAGATGTAAGGTATTTTATTTTGTACTTGTTCTATATTAGTATTTAGTACCGTTATACTCGGTTTTTAAAGTTATGTTTTTGCAATATTTCACTAAGGAATTTATGAAATATCCTCACAACATATTATAATAATTAACCTCGTTATTTCCAAAAACAATGTTCAACTGGATAATATTAAATAATCTGCTGTTCAATTTAACTGAGGTGAACGTATAAAGTGTTATTTTTATTATATTTTATAAAAGGGGCATATTATACTTTTTTAGAGCCTTCTTTAATTATTTTGATAAAAGAAATGAATGATTCGACCAAGATTTCAATATTAAAATAATTTCTTTGGGCACATTTAAATCTTATTTCATTGATATATTTTGAATTTCACTCTTAATAACAACATAAGTAAGCCTGTTGTAAAAAAGTGGCGGTAAAATTTTATTTTGTTTATATCAATTATAAACATTAGGTATATCAAAAAAAGTTTCAAACAGTAGTAATCGCGATACGACATTAAACATTATTTAGTTTTATTAGTGCTATTAATGATATAATTAAATTTTGATTTTTGGTGTATAGAATATTGTGTACACAATAATATAAACATCATAAATAAATATTAATGGGCCGGCATTAGGCAAAAACCTAATATTTTGAATATATACGTAACAATATGAAATGTTATTTTCTTCGACCAATTATTTTTTTTTTTCGTTTTGTAAACAACAATGGCTTATAATAAAGGAATCAATAGAAAAAGAGTACTAATCAATAAACATATACGTAGTTTAATAAACAATAGGACATACATTTTAATCAAAAAAAAAAAAATGTTAATCCAACATTTTTACTGGAGTAAATATGTCGTTAAGTTTTGTAAAATATAAACTCACTGACCTTTTCCCATGAGTATATGGTAGTAGCCGATTTCCATTTTACGATCAGTTTTTTTTTAACACAAAACGTACATTTCCCACAGGAGTGCATAATTTAAGAGAAATATATATTCACATCCCTTCTAACATGCATCGGATACCCAATACATTTTATAAATTAGGTAGTGCACAATATAACCACATTATATGGCCAACGATTGTAAAAACACACTGTTTTGCGTGAAAATAGCATTTATATAATTGACTCAAACAAGTCGATAATCATCAAATTACAATTTACAAAACATTAATAAGATTCAATTTTTTTTTGTCTAACTAAATATCAAATATCCAAAATATTACACTTAAGTATAATAAGTATATTGTAGTTGATCCTTCTATGACTACGGAATTATACAAAATGTGATAAGTAATTCATTTTTTTATAAATGTTGAAATTATTATATTCGCATTATCCTAGTATTACACATGGGTTTGTAATACTTTTAACCTCAAAATTTAGACATTTCCAAACTCAGATATCCTATAATGATAGTAATCATTTAATATATTGAAAATATCTTTCTTATAAATAAAAATAATAGTGTTTACAAATAAACGTATACATTTGGTACTATAATATATCGCTTCAAACAAGCCAACAATTAATTTTCCATAAATTACTCAAAAGTTAATAGTTCGTAACAATTATTGTTTTGAGCTATATTCAATATAACTTATCGAGTCTCGGTGGGCGACGAAGCAAGTCCCCTGTGAGCGAGGAGGTGTGTTACGATGGGTAAGAAGGCGAGTCATGTGAGTCACGGTATTGGTGAACGCGATCGGGGTGATCAAGACCACTATGCTATGATTTTTTTTTTTGTGGATTCCTTATCGAACGCTTATTATGTATTTTATATAACTGATCGTGTAAAACCCATTTGTTGTGAGTAGCATTTTTAGTGTTGTTTATCATAGCTACTGAATAAATTGGACGATCATTTTAAAATGTTTCTTTATTACAATTAGCCAACGGGTATCTTCCTTTGTTAGACTCTAGAAATAGTTTAGCAGAACTTATCATATGCAATAACAAAGGTACCTATCGTTGTGGTCCAATCCAAATTTATGTTTCCTTCTGGAAAACGTTTACCGTTGTTTTCAAACCATATATTTATCACGTTCGAGGTCTCGGCGGTGCGGCATGGTGGCCTTGATCACGCCGATCGCGTTCCCCAATACCGTGACTCACGTGACTCGCCTTCTTATCCATCGTAACACACCTCCTCGCTCACAGGGGACTCGTCTTCTTGGCCACCGGGACTAGGCCCTCGACCACCGCAGCTAGTCTTAGTCCGTAGCTCACCACACTGTGAGCCCAGTGTCAACCGCCCACACGGTGCTCACCTCTTCGCCCACCGCGGCACGTCTCCTCACGTCACCGTCACTCACCTCACGTGACGTGACAGGGGAAACCCAAGGGCCTTCCTTACTACTAGTGCTTTTAATTTAATCATCGGTTAATCGTACCAAAGCTAGGCATTATACGAATAAAATGTTATCTCAATATATATTAAAATTAATTCGATATGGAATATAAATCTATTAAAATTATTTTATGTAAATTTGCTTAACTGTGATTCATAAATTAAAGATGACATAGACGACATAAATAAATGAAAAAATATTATAAATAGTATATATATATAAATTAAAAATAAATATGTGTTATTATAATATTAATATGTTGGAATCGGTTAAGAAGGTAAATACAAAACTTTCATTTTTGAACTTTTGTGTCTCAATTATAACTATAGTAATCCACTGTAATATCGATTTTCGAATTTATATATTATATTTTGTAAAAAAAGAAAATTAAGTATTAATAATAATATTTATATAAGAGTTTTATAAACAAATTAACCCAGGGTCTCGTGGAAAATTAAAAAGCTTAAAAGCTCATTTGCCAAAAGTTACAAAAAATGAGTCTGACCATTTTAGAACCAAGGTACAGGCTATAGTATGACGGGAAGAAACAATAAGCTTAAGGCCATCTAGTGGTAAACTTGGACGGATAAGAAAATAATCGATAGCGGTGACGTGTCTCTCTCACCTGGGTATTTGTAAGGCGACCTCGTCTAGGCTGTCGGACGGCGTTAGTGGCGGTTTCTCGAACAACCGACTTGGCGCCAGTGTCAGCTGATGCCTGTGCCTCATGCCTCGTTTTCGGCGTTTTTTTATTTCCTCCTCACGGCGAAGGTTGTGCAAACGGAAAAAAAACATTGACATTCTGAAACAGAAATCAACAAAATAACTTTTTTTTTTTAAGGTTACATTTTTTATTGAGATTGCTTAACGTTGCGGTAAAGTAAATATATCTAACACCAATTCATTGGACAAAGTCAGTTGATATTAGACGAACTTTTAATGCTTTTCATGCTATTATATATGAATACCTAATAATAAGTACACAGTTGTATAACACGCTTAATAAAATGTATACACAAACATGTGATGTAGAGTTAACGTGTTAACATAATTTAAAAAATATTTAAATTTTTAAAAAAGTTATTTAAATTTCAACAAGGATAGCAATTGAACGTTAATTGTAACAAAAAACATCTAGTGGAAGACCAAAGCAGATGGAAGAATAGACAATTTTGAGTTGAAAGAATAATTCTCAATAAAAGGATAGAATTCAATTGAAACAATTGAAGAACTGTAACAATGCCAGCTAATACTTTTACGGGTTTATTATAGAGCCAAGAAAAGGAAGTACTAAATCTTGTAAGATTAAATATTAAATTTTTTAAAAAAGTGGTTTAACAACTTGCAAAGTAAACATGTAAAAAGGGCGCATCAACTTTATTGTTTCTGGACGAGAAATAATTAATTAAAAATTGTATAATATATTAGCGGAAAACCTAACTATCATATTGTTATTAATTAATAAAATAAATATAAACGAGCAATGTACTGAGTATGAGAAGGAACGATTGCGTTTTTTTTTTACAAGTATAGTTATAAAACATTTTTTTTTCTACTAAAAAATACCGTGCTACGTGTTATAATTTTTTAAAAAGAGTAAGTCGTATTGTGATCCAATTGAAATAATTCTGCATTCAATTATTATCTTTTTTTTTATATGTTGAATTCTGTTCAATTTTCTCATTTCTCATTAAAATGCACTATAAATTAATAAAAAAATTTAAACAGACTACACTATCATCATAATATAGCGAATGGACAAATTCAAATGTCGTTGTGAAATATGAATAGCAAGTCGGGGAAACTGAGATGGCCATTCTATCTCATGATCGAGACAACACGCATTACTGACAAGATGGAACACATTTAGTCATCGTAGACATACTATAGTGTTGACTGTCAAATTTTCAAAAGATAACCCCCATCAATCATGTTTTAATTAAAGTGTCGTATTTGAGTAAATGAAATGTACGTCTTATGACTGGTAAAAATCTAGTTTGGAAAATAATCCATTTACGAGTGACAATAGCTAAATATTATTTTACATAAAAGCTGAATTTTATTATTACTGTTAAATACGTCCGTCTCAATAAAGTTCTAACGATCCCACATTAAAACTGAACTCTTCAGAACACTTACTAGAGTGAATTGAAATGTATTAGCTTTTTCTATAAAACATAAATATTTTTTTTTATATTTTCAAGACCTTTAAGTATTTTTGTTGTTGAGCATCATACAGTTCATACTAATTACTGACTACTATTATGACTATCATAATAGTAGTCCTTAAACGTACAAAGGAAAAAGTCGATTTTTAATTTTAAAAAAAACTTTAAGCGCTGACAAGAATTCATACGTCATAAATTATACCAATTTTAAAAATATTATCACCTAAACTTGTACATTTTTATGCCATATTGGAGTTTTTTGGTCCAAACTGTTTCAAAATAATGTTATATAGAATTGTTAGTTGCTTAGAAAAACCCTCTCCCAATTTTTTGCGTTTTCTGAAAAATTTGATTTTTGGATGTTGTGAGTTTTGATAGTTGCTTACTTATTTGTTTCGTTATTGTGATTTAAAATAATTTAGTGTTTTTATATTTGTTTGTTGAAATTTATTTTATAATTTTTAAAGTAATTACAGTACTTTAAAGCATGTCCCATTAAATAATAGGATACAACAATTGATTAAACATATTGATAAAATCACAAACCTTTTTTTAAAATTTGTTTTGTCTACTTTAAACATTTAAATAGCCGTGACCTATAACTGCGCCTGGTTTGTATGCTCTGTTTATTTGCTAACTTTGGCTTAACGATGTTAGAACTAGTTTTCAAAGTTAAGAGAATTATATATATATATATATATATATATATATAGGCCAGTGTTGGCAGTTAAAAAAAATAGCTCTTGTAATAAAATATCATATTTTATTAGATTTTCATAGAGCTACAACAATGCTAATATGCTAACATTGCAAACAATTCCTAACAATGTTGATAACATACCTTAGTCTTATGAGAACCTGCGCTCGAAATTATCGGTTTTTTTTGAGTTCTAATGAGTTAAAATTTTATATTGACTAAAATCAAACTTGTGGGTGGTAATCATCAACAATGGTGTCCTGAATTCAAAATAATTATACACGGGTAGATTGCAATGTTATGGGCGTTCTGCATAATGTCGATAATACGTGAGCTCACAGAATAATATTTACACAGCGTCGACTACTGACAGATATTATTTAAATATATAACGGTGCGTCATCAATGTTTTACGGGTTCATCAAATGCGAATAACGGTAAATGATAGTTTCAAACCTAACCTTGAATAGTTTGATAATATTATGATGTCCTTGGAACAGTTTTAACATTATCACTGTGAAAAATTGGTTTAATTCAAAGTTTTTATTTCCAAACATAATTCAGTTACAAATTCTTACATAATCTACTCTATTATCCGTTAATTCACTTTAATGTGCCTTATATTTTTTTAAATAATAACAATTAAACGGAAACGTGAAACTTAAAACAAACACATTCCTTATCGAACAGTGAAACAATAATCAAGTGTATTTATTTATATCGGTGATTAATTAACCATCTTCCGTTATACCTATCCTGTTATTTTTCCTATTCGTTACTTGAAAATGTAATTAAACGCATACACCGGTTGCTATAACATACGTCTTACTTTGATGTAGTTTTAACTGTATAGCATGGCTCACGGCCGTGGAAACCCTATTACTTTTATTCGTTTTTTATTCAATATGAATCCCAGCGGGGTTTAACCCATCACACAAATAAGTGGTTCTGAGATGAGGGCATAAACCAATGTAGTATAGCCGACGATAAACTAAACCCACTTAAGTAGGATATTAAACAGGATAGGATGAACATATATTTAACTTATTGAAATGTATCGTCGTTAAGTTTTTGCGCTTTATTATTGTCATAAAAATAATAACCATCTTTCCCTTGAAGGATCATGAAAATATGTCTTTGGGTGTGGTTCGTATGCACGCGTCTGGAGATGCCACTCGACACGGCGCTATCATTAGCTGTTATGTTAGGTTAATAAACAATATTTTGTTAGCACAGATTATTTTCTGGTTAGTGTAGCATACCTATTGGTAAGTTGCACATGTGTGTTTTGTTATAAATTGTATTATTAAACATGTTTGTAACAAAAAAATAAATATTAAATCTACATATCCTGCAAGAAGGAGATAAAGAACTAACCATTATTGAGTAAAAACAATTAAGTTCACGAGATGTTCTTGGCTAGAAGAACGAAAGGTTTTTTTGCCATTCTTATTGAAAAACATTTGCGGAAAAATGAAAGGAAATAACTACAGATCGCATTTTTAGGTTAAGTTGGCATACATTAATTTACGTCTTGAATCTAATAGAATTAATTATAAATCATTCAAGTTATTGATCAGTTATATTAATATTTATGACATTTTCAATAATCGCAATTTAAATTATACTCGTATATTTTATGTATTGTGGTTTTCAATGAGAAAGTTAGACAACTTCTAAGTTTAGATTACTCAAACAACCATTGATTATTTTTTCAACCATAGTTTTTTGAGATTTTCTCAAAACCTATTCAGAAATTGAGAAGTGACTTTAATGAATTACAACCAGTGATCATTTTCCTATAATTTGCATGTACTTAACGGTTCATACGATATAATATGGTAACATGCAGAAAAAAAAATACCCTGTACAAAAATATATCAATTGCGGTATCAGTCCCATACGACCGGGTTTTGACACCTTTCACAGCGGTCAGGTTAGGTTTATGCGCCATGACCGCGTCGCTTAAATTTCCGTCAGACTTTATATCAAAATACAATCAAAATTATTCTGAAAATTTAGCCAAACTTAATTGGAGGAGTTCGTCTCGAGTGGTCGTTTTCCTACCAGTGGAACGAGCGGGACACGGCGAATGTGGTCTCTTTTTACACCCGAGATTTTTATCGTTCCCCGGAGATACATGAGGTTGACCATCAATGCACACGGGATCTATAAGTGTGTAAAAGAGTTTGTTTTTGATAGATGTTATTTTGTGTTTTTTTTTTTGACACAGAGCTTAAAAATCGCTCTTGTTACGCTGAAAATATTATTCCGCGTCGTTAGTTTGCCTTTTCGTGCGGCCATTGTGCTTCTGCTTCTATCGTTTTCGCCCTCTGGAGACCGCGATAACGCCGCGGTTTCGTTTAAAATGTGTTGGGTTGTTTTTTTAAATACATATATTATACTTTCCGCCGCGGTATTTGTCGGGCATCAATCGTCGATGGTCGATCTGGTTCTTGGCAAATGACCGCCGCGAAGGTTTAATTGAATCCCCTCGGTTCGTCCACAGCACTCAATAGTAAAAAATATAAATGAGTCGTAAAAAAAGAGTTTCTACCTTTCTCAAAGCTCACTCTTCCCACTCTGATGCTCAAAATCATTGGACTGGGTTGATAAGTTGGCAATAGTTTTTTTAATTTATTTAACTATCCGACAATAATATTTCTATGCGTTAAATTTTGATATTTGATAGAAATTACCTTTCACTGATCGGATTGCACATTATTTTGATGCCAGTAAAATCTGTTTACAAAAAAGCTTGTGTTTGTCATTACAAAAAATTACATTGTAATTTGCAAAACTTATATTTAAAGTCTATAATTATGTAAAAAAATATTAATCTTGTAGTTGGAGAAGCGTCCATAGTTAGTAAAATCGATAATATTGAAAGTCAGAAAAGTCAAGAAAATTATTATCATAAAACTGTTGACATCACCA